GCAGCAGGAAGCATGAAGTGCTCTAAAACTTCCTGGTAGACGGCTGCATTGACCCTGGACCTCAGGAAACAGAGTGGGCCAACACCGGCAGATGACATGGCACCCCACACCATCACTGACGGTGGAAACTTTACACTGGACCTCATGCAACGTGGATTCTGTGCTTCTCCGCTCTTCCTCCAGACTCTGGGTCCTTGATTTCCAAAGGAAATGCAGAACTTGCTTTCATCAGAAAACATAACTTTGGACCACTCAGCATCAGTCCAGTCCTTTTTGTCCTTGGCCCAGGCGAGACGCTTCTTGCGCTGTTTCTTGTTCAAGAGTGGCTTGACACACGGAATGCGACACCTGAATCCCATGTCTTTCATGAGTCTCCTCGTGGTGGTTCTTGAAGCGCTGACTCCAGCTGCAGTCCACTCTTTGTGGATCTCCCCCACATTTTTGAATGGGTTTGTCGTCACAATTCTCTGCAGGGTGCGGTTATCCCTAGAGCTTGTACACTTTTTTCTACCACATTTTTTCCGTCCCTTCGCCTGTCTGTTAATGTGCTTGGACACAGAGCTCTGCGAACAGCCAGCTTCTTTAGCAATCACCTTTTGTGTCTTGCCCTCCTTGTGCAAGGTGTCAATGATTGTCTTTTGGACAGCTGTTAAGTCAGAAGTCTTCCCCATGATTGTGGTGCCTTCAAAACAAGACTGAGGGACCTTTTAAAGGCCTTTGCAGGTGTTTTGAGTAAATCAGCTGATTAGAGTGGCAGCAGGTGTCTTCTATATTCAGCCTTTTCAGAATATTCTAATTTTTTGAGATACCAAATTTGGAGTTTTCATTAGTTGTCACTTATGAATATCAAATTTAAATGTAATGAACATTGGAAATACATTGGTCTGTGTGCATTGCATGAATATAATGTACATGTTTCACGTTTTGAATGGAATTACTGAAATATTTTCAACCTTTTGATGATATTCTAATTTACTGGCCAGCACCTGTATAGTTACAAGGTCTATAATTACAAGGTCTATAGTTACAAGCTAATCATTTATCACCACTTTTATAAAAAGGAATAACTCTGGCTATTTTTATTTGTTCATGGACTGTGCCACTTGAAAAGGATTTATTGCAAATATAAGTAAAAGGTTCAATAATGCAATGGATAACCCCCTTGATGAGAGACATATCCCATGAAAATCTAAGGACTTTTTACTTTTGAAACTATGTACCGCTTGGATCACATCACTTTAGCTTACACTGCTCAAAAACATTGTATTATTATTTTTATTAATTTCTTTAATGGTTAATGTCAACTTCTGGCAGCTTTTTAGCTAGATTAGGGCCAACATTTACAAAATATTTACAGTCAGCTGTTACTACCGTCACGTTGTGTACTTGTGGAAGGTTTTTGGCTTTCGTACTCACATCAAGGACAGGAATACATTTTACTGAATGTTGATACATAAATAGCTCCTTGGAAACCAGTGGACACTTCTCTGGTCCTCCAATTAGATAAACAGTCCATGAAAATATCTTCAGTTAGAAATCTCCTGGGCTGATGTTGATCTGTGAAGTAGCAGCTTGGAGAAAGGAAAATCAGTGTGAACAAAGATAAAGTTGAAGTACGGTACCCAAATAAATTAAAATTTCTGTTAACATGTTTGCAATGTCCAATAGAATAGTTCTTTGATAGTATTTGTGTAGATTTGTAGAAAGTGCTATAGCATTATGGAAAATGAGCCATTGACAAAAATAGCTATTACTTAATTCAGGCTGGTCTGATGAACAAAAATACGTTTCTGATGGAAAATAGTGTTTCTTTTGCATTACCATGTGCTCTTTTACCTCAGTCTGTGCCTCTAATTGACTCCTTTTGAATGTATTTATAGGATCTGGCACCTGTGATATCTGATATTAATAGAATGTCAGTTGGTTATATTGAGCTCAGTCGAAAAGAGCCTTGCAAAAAATATGTCAAAAATGTTTTAAGCTTGGGCCTTGTGATTGGACTGGACCTGTCTAGGGTGTTCCCCACCTCTCATCTGATAACTGCTGGAGATAGGCAGCAGCTCTCCAAGACCCTATAGGCTTAAGTGGTTAAACTGGTGAGTGAGTGAGTCAGTGAGTGAATGAGTTTAAGGCTCGAGATCCAGAAGGTATAATTTGTCTTTACCTGATACTTTCTTGTTTTGTATCGTCTTGTATCTTGTCTTGTGCTGTATTTTGTATCGCAGCATTGTCTTGTATCTGTCACGCTGAGAGCAGGAGGTTAGGACCCAAAATGCAGAAGCCCAGACAACTCAGGCAGGAACGGTTAAATGAATGAAAGTCCTTCATTAGGATGATGGGTAAATATCCAAAGGGGCAGGAAGCCAAACCGAAAATCCAGAAAAAACTGAACTACAACAACAAAGCTCATTCATGAGCAAGAACTTGGAGTTCCTGAGGAGGACAGAACAATGCTGACAAAGACAATGTACCAACAAAAAATGAGGGACAAGACAGGGTTTTTAAACACAGAGGGACGCAATCAGGGGAACAGGTGACAGGTGTAAGGAGTGAGGTCTAGAGGGAAGACAGGTGCCATCAATAAACTAAATGGGGAAAGAACTAAGCAGAGGGGGAGATAAAACTTAACCTATAAAACACTAAATAAATAAACCTAAAGACAAAGGGCAAAGATAAACAACTAATAATTAGAGGGGTAAGGAGGGCTAATACAAACCAATGGGAACTACAAGGGGGTGACTAGGAGAAAACATAAGGGAAGCTTAGAGAACGCTGGTGAACACAAGGAGGCACAGAGCACAAGGGGACACATGAGGGGAACGCAGAACATGACAGTATCGTACTGTATTGTTTTGAATCGTAGTGGTGTCTTGTATTCTATTGTATTTTCTTGTATTAGTATCATAATGTGTAGGCTTGTATCATACTGTAATGTCGTGTTTTTGTATTATATTGTATTGTCCTGTAACATACTGTATTGTCTTGTATCATACTGTGTAGGTAGTAGGTATCATAGTATCATTTTTATTAATCTTCTGTTGTGCTGTACAGTGTTAATTTTGACAGGAAATTTTAATTTTATTTTAGTCTTAGTCTTTGGGCTAAAAATTAATTTTAGTCTTAGTCCGATTTTAGTCATTGGATTTATTTTAGTTTTAGTCCCATTTTAGTCGACAAAAATAACAAGTAATTTTAGTCGATAAAAATAAGCAATTTTAGTCAACAAAATGCATATATTTTTTCTAATGAAGTAATTTCCTACTTTTGTATAGAGCACGGAAAAACTAGTGTAATTTAATACACAGAGTCCAAACTCTTAACCACCACTGATCAGATATAACACACACAGCTAAGAACATAGAATATTTGAATAAAAAAACCACTTCACATGTTTAACACTTACGTGTTTAATAAAAAACAAAAAGCACACTGGAAATTACAAAGGTGCTCTTTTTAGCACCTTTGTCTAGTAGACAGTCTTTTCTTAAATGTAACTTTTTTTGTTTTCATAATGTTTTTCAATTAGATTACTTATCTTGGTTTTCTTTGGCACAGTAAACTTCTTATCCAAACTTTCTATCATCAGAATAAAATCCTCATCTTCTACTGTTGTGACCGGCAATCCTGTACATCCAATCCATGTAGCGATAGCCTCTTCTTTCATTTGTTGTTCTTTGGCATCACTCTTTGTAGTACTTGTAAATGCGTCCTCAATGTTCTGGTTGGACATTTTTGCCTTTTTGGTAGCTGGTTGGCCACCATCAGCAATAGTTTTCTGCAACTGCAAAAAAATAAAAATACACAATTAAAACATTGACTTTCTAACAATGATTTACCTGTTGCTTTTTGAGATTTCACACATATATATATATATATAATCTCGTTATAAAATGAACCGGTAAAAGATCTGTGCGGGCTCGGGACTCGGATCATATCAGTGCAAACCAGACATTGTGAAAATTATTAACAGCCAACAGCATGCTTCACTTTACTGGTCTAGTCCTGGTTTAGAGCGCACGTACAGCGAGCGGCTGCGACCCAAAAAGTACCAGAACCGCTCACGGTGCATGCGCAATCATGCATCAACACTGCTCACCCGCTATTTCCCTAATAACACACGTTATAGTCATGAAAATACGGTACGTCCGAATTTTTATCCCAACATGACAGTGTTGATACAGTTTTATTTGCCTATATATTACTTTTCGGGTCGTCACGTGTACAACATTTAAGTGGATTTACCTCGGAGAAAATGGCGAAGTGGCCATTCTGTAGATGCCTCTTCAGATTCGTTGTTCTTTCCACGGAACGACAGTCCACACTCTCGGCATGTAGTTTTGGTAGCAATGTTATCATAAGAAAATTGACTCCACACATCTTCTCTTCTTTTTCGCCCAGCAGTTAACATTTTCCTCTACTGCTTCTTCTTATGCCGTCGATATATTCAGTGAGCTATGTTTAGCATACCGCGCATACCTGCCCCTTTATACTATTCAGGGTCTGTCTTCTCTCACGTCGTCCCGCATGTTCACGGCACGCCACGCCCCTTGTCTTCTACTACGTTCGCATCTCAAAACAACACAATAGTCGCACCGCACCATTGAGCGCCATGTAGAAGAGCGTCATCGTAGATTTTCGTCTCGTCTTTCATTCGTTGACTAAAAGTTTCAATCAATTTAATTATCGTCTTCGTCTTTTTCCAAGCTTTTATTTTGAATTTTTGTTTCATTTTCGTCTGTAAATATATTTTCGTGACGAAAAAAAAGACGAAAATATTTTGTCAACAAAATTAACACTGGTGCTGTATCATTTGTATAGTCTTGGATCGTACTGCATTGTGTTGTATCGTACTGTATTGTCTTGCATTGTTGTATTGTCTTGTATCGCAGATAATTGCGTTGTATCATACTGTATTGTCTTGTATCATACTGTATTGTCTTGTATCATACTGTATTGTCTTGTATCATACTGTATTGTGTTGTATCGTACTGTATTGGTTTGTATCGTACTGTATTATTTTGTATCATACTGTATTGTGTTGTATCATACTGTATTGTCTTGTATTGCAGTATTGTCTTCTATTGTAGTATTATCTTGTATTGTACTGTATTGTGTTGTATCATAATGTATTGTCTTGTATTGTACTTTGTTTTACATCGTAGTATTGTCTGGTATTGTACTGTATTGTGTTGTATCATACTGTATTGGTTTGTATCGTACTGTATTGTGTTGTATCATAATGTATTGTCTTGTATTGTTGTATTGTCTTGTATTGTACTTTGTTTTACATTGTAGTATTGTCTGGTATCATACTTTATTGTGCTGTATTGTACTATATTGTCTTATATTGTATTGTACTTTATTGTGTTGTATCATACTGTCTAGGCTTGTATCGTTTTGTTTAATCTTCTATTGTGCTGCATCATCTTAGTGTATTATGTTTAATCATACTGTATTGTACCATGTTGTATCATATCACATTGTATCATCTTGTCAGCTCAACAGATTTCTCTAACAGTACTACCACAGAGTGCAGGGAGGGCACAGCATTTGTAATCTACACTTACACCATCCAGATTCCTTAGAGGTGAAACCTGAGTAAGTGAGGTCGGAGGGAATGAAGGGTCAAGAATGACGTTCATTTTGCCAAACCAATATGTTTAACCATGTCTTTATTGCTTTATTTATAACTGCTACTTAACAATTACAAGTAGAAAAACAAAACACTAATGATGGTTTCTTTAAAGCTTTGTACACTTTACCAGCACATTACTTTATTTTAATTTGCACAGATTTAACAACTATTATTATTTTTTATTTATATATCCATATATCATGCTGTCTGCACAGTCTATCCTTCAATGTGGGACACGTATAAGCAACTCAGAGGTAAAACTTAGGCCATTTAATTCTGACAGTGTGTCCCTCTCATAAATGTTTCAGAGAACAGTTCCTCTACCTGCCTGTCTTTGTAAGAGTCGCTAAGCAACTGAAATGTTATCCCGGGCATTAAAAACCACTGTTCCCCCAGTACGCACACTCATAAATACAAACTCATAATGGAATGTTTTCAATTTACTTTCTGCAGGTCAGTGGATACACCGAGGGGGGAGTATGTCCAAACCTTCATCCAACGTTAAGGCCTTGCAGGTAAACACACATGTGGCAATATGGAGGAGTTCCTAGATTTACTTTAATGTACTAAAACAGAATATAAAGGAAATAATCAGCATTTCAGGCAGTTTCCACATTAAATTATTTATTGTTGAAGGCAGATGCAGGGTTCGGACTGTGCATACAGTATCAAGGCTTTTCAGTGCAGTTATAGCGAGGCAAACATATGCAGAGCAGTTTGTTTTAATGGCTTGATGTGCATGTCAGAGAGGCTTTCATTTACCATCTAGCTTCTCATTGTGCTCATTTTAATGTCTAACCATGGTATAGGCATTGGATCAGTATACAATGTTTTAAATACCAGTACAAACAGGAGGTTCCTCATTCAGGCTCCAGTAATTCATCACAAACAAGATCATCTGTACAGTTTCACCATATAAATATTTCATTAAAGAAAAAACATCAGACTTTCTTAAAATATCGTATCAGTAGTTTTGCATATGAAAATCATACTTAACAAATCAAAACTACTTTCACATTTTTTCCAAAGAGGCAGTTGTTTTTAAGATGCACTGTATTTCAGGAAATGAACACGCTAAACGTCCTTAACAGTTATGAAGTGACGTAAGTTGGTAAAAGTGTCCATTGGAGTATTTAATCTGGTTATAAAAGGCAAAACAATGTTAAATCTGAAAGGATGGCAACGTATAGATTTAATCATTCAGTTAACAATCATGAAAAATAGACTTAACTTTTGTTGGGATTGATGTGCTAACGGCTAGTCTAAACCCAGCCAAGACAAAAGCGTCCTGCTGCCATCTTAAACAGCTTCATGTGACATCAGGATGGCGTTTTGTTCTTGGTTGTGCTTAGTCTAGCTGTTAGCTTATCGGCCTTGAAGACAAAAGCTATTTCTTCAAACAGAAGCCATTCAGGATGCTATCTATTACAGGTGGGATGGAAAAACTTTAGAACTTTTACACAGAAAACAACTCCTAATAGCAAACAAATCCCTGATCAGGCAAACCAGTAGAATATTTGATCCAAATGCGATGATGATTTATTCACACTGGCGACAGCAAGGACTTTAAGTAGGTCAAATTTGACAGGACTTATTTAAATGTTTGTGCAAATGAATGACAGCATAATGTCTGAACTGTGATATAAACTAACAATGCCCAGGGGGTGAAGGGTTTTCAAGCATAAATGCTAAAGATTTGGGTGAATTATTCCTTTAATCTTTGGTAATGATGGGGTTCTTAGAATAAAGATGGTGAATGATTCCAGCCAAAGCAGCACTACAGTAGCATGCTGCACATGAGACGATTTCTCACCCAGAGTTCACTTCCAGTCGTCTGTAAAAAGCTGAAGCTCCACCGATATTGTTAAACTCTACGTCGTCGTGTCTGTACAGCTGTACATTACAGGTTTATATACACTACAGTACAAAACCAAACCCGTGAGGCGATGTCGGCGCAGGCAGCAGAGAACACCGAGTTAGCAGGCAGATTGATTGGCTCGGAGTGTGTGTCTCAATTTTCATAAACACACTAGTCCCATTTAGTGACTGGTGATGATCGGGTAGTAGTGACCACAAGCAAAACATGAGGTTTGGGACACTGAGAAGCCTAACATTGATGGAGAAAGTGGACATTGATCATCAGAGGCTTGAAACGTTCTCATTGCTCGTTCCCATTCTCCATCAGGCTAATTTGAACATCCCGATGGGAGCTCTGCGTCCAGGGGCGGGACTTCCTGTGAAGAGGAGAGAGGAGACAGGAGACACGGAAGAGGTGAGACTACCCAGCCTACACGACTTTGCATGTAAACTAAAACACAACTTCTTATCTCAAATGTTTAGACTGATCTTATCTCAATAGGAAAATCAGGTTGCATAAAGATCAGATGAAGAAGAACCATCATCTTCTTCATATTGTGATTCCATTTAACTGATCGTACAGCAGGCCTAAACACCTGCGGGCTGCTCGATTCGATTTGGAGTGTTTTGCCTTTGCTACGCTTTTATTTCCCTAGTCAAAGTGAGCCCTGCCGTAATGTAAAGTGTAAGCCAATGCTGTGTATGAACATTGCGCAACACAAACAGACTGGAAAAATAAAACAAATATGTATCTTCCCATTAGTGACTTTAGAAATGTCCGACGCATGTTTTCTGTTCTTGTAAAGTAAAATCTGCCCATAAACGACACTTTTAATCCTTTTTACAGCAGATAGTTTTAGGGACTCTTGCTTTTGTTGTTCAAGGCAAAATCCTGCTGCACATTTAGAAAAAAACACCGTCTGTTTATCTAATTTACAAGTTAAAAGTAAAACTGGAGTTTTGGAGCCACAAACATCAAAGCTGGGCACCTGTCTCTGTAACTATGTTCTTAAAAAAAGATAACTGCCCTCTGATTGGTTGGCTTCGGGAAGCCACGCCCCCAGTGGTCACTAGCAGTATGAACGGGTTTGTGAGAGAGGCAGGCGCGCAGATAGGGTGGGGGGCGGGGGGGAATCTACCCCCCCCCCCCCCCCCCAGATTCAGGGGGGAATGGGGTGCTGCTGCTGTTTGGATCGCTGGCTTCAAATGAACCAAAGCTTCCTCCCAGTTTCTCTTTAAGCTGAATTTAGCATCAGTTTATCTTCATGAAACAAAAGAATAAAGTGGAACAAGAACTTCTATCTTCTATTTCTCTCTCCTTTAACTTCTCCGTATCTCTAAATAAGAGACAGGTTACGCTGCAGCCGCCATCACTGACCCCGCCCCCTCCCCAACATCGGATCTCCCGACATCTCAGCACTCGGTCTGACTGAGCGCTTCCAGGAGAAACAATAATGAAATTATGAAAATAATAATGCGTGTTTGGAGGAGCGACCTCCGATCCTCTCTCTTGTGTGAGCAGACAACCTCCCGCTCTCTCTCTCGGTCGCTGATCGAGCGAGCGGAGCGCGCCGCGCGACAACCCGCTCAATTAACATAAGTTACGGCCCAAATCCACCAGAACGGGTCGGGCTGATTCGATTCGGGTTCAGTCTCAGGTTATAACTCCAGCGCTCAGCCCTGCAGAACCACATAAAGGCAGATTTAAGTTTCCTACCTGGTAAATGTGGAGAACACCGCTCTGACAGATGTGGATGCTACGCTGGTGCCGCCACTAAAATAACACAACCACATTCCACTATAACTGATTATGGTACTCTTCTATGATGCAAAACCGTTTATGCCCGCATCTCATGCATTGATAATTTGATTATTTTCCTCAGCTCTGTCCTAAACCTCCCAGTCGGCCGCCGGGGGTAGGGGTGGGGGGTGCGCGCAGGGTTTGGGGGCCACAAAGAGAGGGTTCGCAAGCCGGACGTGGCCCGCGGGCCGCCATTTGCAGACCACTGTCATAGCTCATCACCATCAGTGTGTGAATGTGTGTGAATGGATGAATGATACACTGTTGTGTAAAGTGCTTTGGAGTCTTTACTCTGAGAGGCGCTATACAAGTGCGGGTCATTTATCATTTATAGTGTTGATCAGGCAGAGCTTTGTTGCCAGCGTTCCACTGCATGATGGCTTAAACACGTATATAAAAGTGTTAGTTTTTACGTAAACCGTTGGATGAAAGTACACAAACTGACTGAGCTCCCGTTAAGGCGCTTGCAATAGTTTGTGTATGTGTGTGTGTGTGTGTGTGTGTGTGTGTGTGTTTGGGGGAGGGAACATTGGAACTTAGTTCCCCCCAGTTTGAAAATCCTATCTGCGCCCCTGGAGAGAGGCGTCAGTCAATTAAAATAAAATAAATATATAAAACTTTTATTAAAAATTACTAGGTGTGTATATACTTGCATACAAATTTTATTTGTTTTTAAATAAGATTAAAAGAAATTAAAGCAAATTAAAAAATAAGTGAGTTTATATACTGGCTTAAAAACTAGATTTAAAAAAATATATACATAAAATTTCTCAACATTAGTGGATTAATTTTACTATTTTGTTTGTTTTTATGTTATTTATTTCTTTCATTTGTAGGGTCAGCCACCAGAACCACAGCCGCGGACGCCAGACGAAAAGAAACCATTGCCAGGTGCAAAGTTACCCGGGCCTGCTGTGGACCTCTCAGAGCTGCAAAACAAAAAGAGCGAACTACGATGGGTCACTAAAGACTAATGTAGGTGTCCACATACTTGTTCAGAAATGTTAGTACTGACTTCACTACCTACAAAGCAAGCCAAGCTACACCCCCGGTGGCTGGTTGCAGCATACTTTTTAAGCCCCGCCCCCACCTTGTAAAAAGAATCAGATATTACCCTGTTTCTCATTTTCTTTAATTACCTCAAGCTAATTTTTCCAGGAGTTAGTTCCTTTTCCATTTGGCTGTACTTTCGCTTTGTAGGCCCTTTCCTAACGTGTGTTTTAAATAAAGTTGGATTTGACCAAAACTTATTTCTGTAGCATCCACCTTTGATAAATAAATGAAATAAATAGAAATATTTTTGCTAAATTTAAAATCAAGTGTTTAGTTTGAGTAATTACCATACCAACTTTATTTATAAAGCACTTTTAAAACACAGCATGGCAGCCGACCAAAGTGCTGTACAGATAAAAAGTTAAACATAAAAACAAAAACACAATCAATAATAAAAGTACACAACAAAGCAGTAAAAACACAGTCAATAAAATAATACATAATAAACATAAGTTATTAATTAATCCATAATAATTATCCATAATCTTTCGTCTTAGGCAAAAATGTTCAGTGACCTTATTTATACAATATACCAACTGATTTAACTTTAATCTGTGTTTGTAGTAAAAGACAAGCTGCAGGTAATTTACTACTTGTTTTTACTGGTTTATCATCAGATATTGTGTTTTCTATATGCATCAAAAGGACTGAAAAAAATTCACATTTAATGTTTTTTTAATTTAATTGTGATTCTTGATTTTGTAATGAAGTTCTTTAGAGTTGCTCTGCACAGGCGGGATGGGTTTTAGTAAAATAACCCAAAGAAAAAGATGCAAATGAGGATGAAACTACAGAACGGAAGGACAAAGGTGAATCTGTACAGGATGTCACAGGTTTGTTGTGCCTGATGCAAATCCTGCTGATGCACATTAAAAATAACAAATGCACTAAAAAACTTCTCCGAGAGAAGATGGGTGTGTTTGTAGGCTAATAACATCTAAACAAGCACGGATAAAATGTCCAAATTAAATAATTAGTTACCGTTTCTTCCATATTTAGATTATTTCTAAACAACAAAGAAACATGAGAGTAAATCTGATGCCTAAGGGCTTGTAGGTTGGTTATAAATGTTTATGTTTATTTATTTATTTATTTAGCAGACGCTTTTATCCAAAGTGACTTACAGTTTATAACCTACAGGGCATGTAGTGATCTGTGGGGGAAACCGGAGTACCCGGAGGAAACCCACGCATGCATGGGGAGAACACGCAACTCCACACAGAAAGGCCGCAGCTGAGTTTCGAACCTGCAACCTTCGTGCTGCGAGGCAACAGTGCTAACCACTGCGCCACCAATAAATTTTATTTGGTGCATTGAACAAAAAAAACACGTTTTTACTACATACAGTTTATTTAATGACAAAATGTGACACTAAATGTGTTTTTATATTTATAGCAGTGAGTTCTGTTGAATTCAGCATGGTGGTGCAGTGGTTAGCACTGTTGCCTCCAAGCACGAAGGGTGCAGGTTCGAAACTCGGCTGCGGCCTTTCTGTGTGGAGTTGCGTGTTCTCCCCGTGCATGCGTGGGTTTCCTCCGGGTACTCCGGTTACCCCCGCAGATCACAACATGCCCTATAGGTTATAAATTGTACGTCGCTTTGGATAAAAGCGTCTGCTAAATAAATAAATAAACATAAATATAATATTTACTTGCAGTGGCTGCAGTTCACCACGGGAGGTCACTGTGTGGTTGGTTTCTGCTCAGGTGTTTGTGTGTGTGTGTGTGTGTGTGCGCGTGTGTGTGTGTGGGTGTGTGTGTGCGTGTGTGTGTGCGTGTGTGTGTGTGTGAGCTCTGAGTAGCAGTCTGTGCTGTGTCTCTGATGAGCAGAAAACAGAAACTCTTCACATGTAAACACTGAGACGGTGCAGTGCAACGGTATTCTCGTTAATGTTATAAAATAAATACAAGAAAAAGGCGAGAAAATTAGATGGTTCAAATTCTGAAGCTTTGAGCCAACATGTTGAAAAAAAGGATTGTTATTTAGATTTACTCTGAATAAAAACATGTTTAAAAACTGTCTTTTACTAAAGCTTCAGAATGTTTTGTGACATGTGAGGATTTTTATTGCTATGTTATTTTATTGTGGTTCATGTTCATCTCCACAGATATCTTAACATGCAGGAAATTTCCCTCAGCCTCATTAAGCTAAAGTGAATCACAAATACAAGAAATCTTACATATATATGTGGCAGAACTGCTCTGCTATACCTCTACAAGGCTGCATAATCATTTTCATTCATTCTCATTATTATATACAGCAGAAATTACCAGTGAACTCTTGCTACCGGCTAGTTAATTTACAGGATTATTCATTTATTCTGTCAGAAATACCACACATGAACTGTATACCTCATGCTGAAGCAGAACTGCTACAGCCAGCTGTTGCTACTGATGGTTATAGATTACAGCATTTTACCTAAATACCCATAAAGATCAGACTTACAGTTATGCAAGGCTTTATGAAAGCTCACTGCTGATGTTTAGCCATTAAATCGGATTAGGATGACAGTAAATTGTTCTAGGCTTCATTTGAATTGGGATTTAAACAGAATTAAACTCTACAACAGGTAAACCGTTATTTGTTAATAATCTTGCTAAACGTTTTATTTAATGACCCAAACTTGCTTTTATTTAGAAATAAATATATTTTTGGAATAAACAATGTAGATAAACTTACTGTGATTCATTGCAGCATTTTTATTTGTTTTCTTTCAGGACCATTTTTTACCAAACGAAGAGGATGAACATAATCTTCATTAGCAGAGATTCCACCGCTGCTAACAGCTAAGCTTTGATCGCCAGAGATAAAGCCACCTTCATCACCTCTCATCTAATCAAAACTACAGATCCGAATGTATTTATCATAAAACAAATCCATAAATCCTACATTTCTGATGCTGAAGAGACTTGAGTTGAAATTTCTATGAAGAAAATGGGAATTTGTGTTTGTCATTTTCTGTTCTTGAAGAGTTTTTGAGATATTTCTAATTAACTGATGAAGGATATACATAAAAAATTGTTGTGTCGGATGGGAACCTTGTAATGTTGTTTACTGTTACATTTCCCAGGAAATTATTAATGCTGTAATAAATCTAATAAAGTCCAGACTCGTGTCACGTTTTGCTAAAGGAGAATACATGAGCTAAATTTAGTATTAACATTGGATGACTTTTAAAACACCTCAGCTTTGTCTGAAACATTTGATTTTAATGGTTAAATAATTTTTGGTGTAAATGTTTAAATAGCTTTTTGATGGGTGGTAATTAAATAAATTGCTGAATGCAGTTCTGAAGAAATTAGTTCTGATAGCTACGGCATCCTCATCATCATTCCATCTCATTATTTAAAGCGACAGTGTTTATTTCTTCTGGCGATGGGGGCAGTAGATACCTAAATAGTTGCAAGGAAGCTGTATTTTTATGTTGGAGTAAGACCTTAGCAACAGATGCCCATTAGGGTCAAAAAGCCCTGAGGAGTGCAAACTTCAGCAAAACGACGAGCACATCAGACTCCTTTTCATCAGTGGCAACAGGTGAAGAGGTCAATGTGTAAAACAATGACCTTTTGAATGGTGAAAGTTTTATAAACATTTTTTTACAAATCAGTAAATGCATTTTGTCCTCAAGGGCTCCCGTAGAAGGACACATGGCATCTAATATGGCGCCGCCCAGAGAATTAGACCCGCTCCCATGTATTTTAGACCAGGGGTGTTTCTCAGTGCCAAGGAACCTTGCCTTGATGTCTTGGCCCCGCCCCGGTTGCCTAGGAGATACGTCATTGGGAGCCACAAAGACGTGTTCCAATGTTCATGTTCTACCGAGGCGTGTGTTCTCCGTTTGTTAGCCGTTTAGATCCAAATAAGTTATCTATGGTTGGTTAGTTGCTTAGAAGTTGCAGCTTTAGTGGCTAGCAGGTAGTAACTCACTTATATATTTAATTTAATAAACATATACACAATTTAAAAAGTGAAAGGTTTGCTATTTATTTATATTGAAACTTATACGTACAAAATATAACGTTATCTCCCGTGTCACCCGACGTTACGTGACCGCCGTGGAAGCCGCGGTCACGTGATGCAAGTCTGTTCCATTCAACCATTTTCTTTGACCAAGGATGGACAGTGTCCTCGTAAGCAAGGCGCCTGGCCTCGCAAGACATCGCCTCACAAGGCCAGGTGCCTTGTTATTGGGAAACACCCCAGATTTTTATGGTTATATGTTGAGAAGCCGCCATTATTTTTCAACAACTGGGCATCCTTTAATCCATTTTCAACAACATTTTGATGGTTTTTTCCAGATATTAATGATAAAACCACACATTGTCCCTGGCTTACAGCCATCTCCATGTTTGCTTTGGGGGCCATCTTGAATGGAGGGACTATAAGTTACTGGGAAATATTTACGCAAAGATCCTCTAAAATGCTGGTTAGGACTTTTGATGAGGACGACTCAGACTGAGTTGTAGCCATCTTGAGTTTGATCACGTCGTTGAGGGTGACGGCTATTATGAATATGGTTGACTCTAAGAACTGATTGTCAATATACTCCTAAGGATTACTTTCCCTGATTCTTGTAAAAGGTGTGGAACACTATTTTAATCAATACATTTGCAGTGGTCTCTAGAAGGAATGAATGCCTTGTAAGTCGTACTCGGGGGGGGGGGGGGGGGGGGGGGGACGACAAAGCTGAGATGCGCTTGAATCAAAAGGTAGTCAGCCAGAGGAAAAGTAGCTTCACAGGCAGTAATTGAAGTCTTACTTCCTGATATTTTAACATCTTGCCTCTGATTGGCTTACAGCAATGCGACTCTACCACTGACTCCATTTGCTTTGCAATGTTAATGTTTAATCTCCACAAATAACACAAACCTGGAGGAGCTCTGCTGTGTGGCAGTGTTGCTGATGCTAACGATTAGCTTCTTCTAGTGGAGATAATCTCTGCTGGACGCTAAACCAACAACAGCCTTCCCCCTCGTGAGTCAAGATGGGTGAGTCCATGAATGTTAAGTGACAGGGTGATGTAGATCTGTCAGGCTTTTCTAATCCTACAGTTTCACCATCTGTTTTCTATCAGAAGCTAATGCAGGAGATAGCTGTAGGAGACTATTTTCATGTTCAGCCTGCATGAAACACTCCGAGTGACCGATTATAATCAGAAAAAATAAACGCTTTTTCAGTGTTCCACACTTTTAAACTCTGACCAGCAGTCCACGAGGCGGCAAAAACGTGTCACAGTTTAATGTTAGGAACGTTTGTTGTTTTTGTTTTTATTTTAGCAAAGATTGTATTTATTTATCCCTTCTGTTTTACGTTCTTGAGGATTCACAAAATTCTAAATCTACCCTTTCAAAGGCTGAAAAGGAGAATAGGTTGCTACTAATATACATTTATTCCGTGTATGTGCCCGTTTATAACACAACTCCATCACCACGTCATTTTGCACTCAAACTCACAAACACAGCAGCTGTAGCTAAGTTTAGCCTCGTCAGGTCATGGTGGGGAGTTCAGCCAAACGCTGCAAGCTCAAGAGGATCGGACACTTACAGTAAAAAGGCTTTCTTTATGTTCTGACCTTCAATGAAATCGCTACATGATACAATACATTTAGAAGATTAATCGGCATCTTTTAGAGATGATTACGTGAAACATCTCCTGCAAGAACCAGAAGCCAAAGTGTGCTCCAGCCAAACGGTTGAACCGCCAGTTAAAGGGTAAAACAAGTTCAATAACTTGTTGCTCAATATTCCATAGCATTTCCATCCCATCAGCCCCTCTTATTACAGCATAAAAATAATCACATGCCATCCATCTTTGTGACTCTGACTTTGCAGGTCACAGTAAGGTTAAATACCTCTTCAAAGGGCACGGATTACCCAAAAATGTGCGGCTACTTCTGACACCTGTCAGAATATTTTACACCTTGGCTAAAACGACAACATTGTACAGGTTGAGCCAAATCCACAAAGCTGTGTTTCCATTCCTGTCACCATGGTGATGAGGACACAGACAGGTGCCACGCGCCAGGAATCTTGGTCATGGACCTGGCAGCTGTATTTACGATGAGTTCATCCACAGGGATAGACACCAAAGCCATGCCTTACTCTGTCCTGACCCCAAAGTGTGCGGGCTCCATTTGTTTGTCTACAATGCTCCTTTGTTGTGTGTGTGTGCGTGCGTGCGTGCGTGTGTGTGTGTGTACGATTTAGAGGATACTCCCCTGGCGGACGAACAGGAAAGGGCAGCTGGTAAACACAAAGACGGAGACATGAGGGCTTTGGTCACAGGGCGGGTCGCAAGTGTGTGTGGAGTGTGTATGTGCGAAGGGGGGCAGTTTAAAACCTCCTTATCATGTTGTCACATGCCAGCTGCTGCAGACAGAGGAGGACATCAACACAAATGGAGAGAGCTCGGATAAGGAGACACTTTTCCTCTCTGGTTGTCTTCATGGAGCTTTTTCTGTTGTATTTTGATGGGTTTTAACTCTCCTATCCTTCGCTCGCCCCATTTTTGCATGGATACCTATTCACTCCTCTACAGTTCCTCCCACAGAACCGGCCTCCTCTCCGGCCTCCAACGCCTGCGTGCTCAGAGGAAGATGTGTGATGTTGTCCTCGAGGCTGGTGGCGTCTCGTTCCCATGTCATCGTGCTCTCTTAGCCAGCTCCAGCGACTATTTTTGGGCACTTTTCGGAGAGACCGCTGCAGAAAGACTAGCAAGCACCATTAGCCTCTCAGCCCTGACGCCTGAGGGCTTGGAGACGATCCTGGACTTCTTGTATTCTGGTTGGCTGAGTGTTTCCCTCGCCACACTCCCTGCTGTTCTGGAGGCGGCCCGGTACCTGCAGGTGGAGACGGCTGTGTCGATATGTGAGCGTTTTATGGCAGATTGTTTAAAAGCGGAGAACTGCTGCTGCTATGCTAATCTAGCAGAGCGATTTGCACTCGTAAATTCACTTGAAACTGCAAATCAAACCATCGCCATGGAGATGAATGTGTTGCTGCTAAATCATAGAAATGACCTCCTTGAGTTGAACTTTGAGTCACTGATGGCCGTGCTTGATGCAGATGAGATACCCGGGGTCCAGGAGGCGGAGCTAATAAAGCTAGCTCTAGATTGGCTGGATAGGAATGGGCCCCTCCCACTCTTGAAATCAAATCTCCTGCTGAGTCGCCTGCGTTTTGGATTGATAGAACCTTCTGAGCTCAACAATCTTGGCCACGCCCATACAGCTATGACCACACCTCTGATTAGAAGTCAGCTGACTCGGGCGCTGGAGTACCACCGGATGGGTTCAGCCCAGCCAATCACACAGAGCAAGCAGTCGACTCTCAGGGAGCCAGCTGTCGTGCTTCTTGTGGGTGGTGGCGCCAGTGCTGATTGGCCGGAACAGCAGGTTCAAGTGTTTGATCCAAGAAGCAGGAAGTTTTTGTCTTCCAGTTGTGTCCCCCCAGTGAGGCTGAGATATCCCTGTGTGTGCTCTGTAGGAGGCTTCCTCTTTGTGATCGGAGGAGAAGAAATAAAAAATGGCGATGAAGATGAGAAGACGTCTTCTGCAAAAACATCCAACCAAGTGTGGAGGTACGACCCACGCTTCACCTGCTGGATGCAGGAGGAGTCCATGTTGGATAGGCGGGCGCAGTTTACCTGCTGCGTGGTGGAAAGCATCGTCTACGCCATAGGTGGACAACACTTGGACACACATTCTTCCTTAGCGTCTGTTGAGTATTATGACATGGTTGTAGGATCGTGGAGGAGGGGTGCAGGTTTGCCCCGCCCTCTTCATGGTCACGCCTCCACCGTGCTAGACAACAACATCTATGTATCAGGGGGGCTCTCCGGCAACCAGGCCAGCATCCATGGCAACAGCCAAAATGAAAACAGAGAAATTAGTAAAGAATTCCTCTTCTGGAACCTCAAAGAGAAAGTCTGGGAGAAGAGGGCACCCATGTCTGTCGCGAGATTCGGCCATCGCTTGGCAACAGCCCACGGATACATTTACGCCCTGTTGGGGATGTACGAGCCATTCTGCGACATCGAACGTTACGACCCCCAGTCGGACCTGTGGACACGCCTCAGACCACTCGTCACAAGCGCCTTCCACTACGGCGTCATTTCCATGTCATCTGGAAATCTGCTTGTGTTTGGAGGTCAAAGGTGGAGCGATGGTCAGGAGGTGATTATTAGGAGTGTGCTAGAGTACGATACAAAGAGAGATCGATGGAAAGAGATCTCCCAGCTTCCCAGACCTCTGACTGGGATCGAGTGCGCACTGCTGCCTCTGCTTGTGAATAAAATATAAGAATATCAGAAAAGAAAGTACCAAGACTAAAGATAAGCTTCAAAGTCTGTTAGAAAAAGCCACGTCTAAACAAGACCTTTAAAAACAGAATATATTATAAAATACTTGTTCAATTTGTTTGTTTTTTTTATCTTTTTTTGCTCTGTTGTGTTTGTAATTTAGGTGAAATAAAATCTGAAGCTAAGCTAAATTAATAATTTTAACAGCAGATCCTGTTACATCACTTTTATTGTCAATCTTCTTAAGACTCATTCCTTTTAAAATCACATGTATAAAATGAGAAAAGTAGGATAGGCAGGACTTACATTTAACAGCTAGAATTCAATAATGGTGCAGTTTTATGCTTCAGCTTAAGGCCGGGGACACACCGGCCGCCGAAGCGCCGGGAGGCGAAGCGCTCACGAAATTCTGCCGCTGCTCGCTTCTCCTCAGTTCAGACCAGACGCTTCTTTCTCCGCTCCGGTCGAGGCGCGCCTCGTAGTTTTTCTTTTAACCACTTGGCGTCCTCCATTTCCTCTCCACCTTTTCTCTGCTCTTTTCCTCTACACCCCCTCCTCCTTGCTGTTTGTGTGTGTTTGTACGCGTGTGTGTGAACCTCTGGTGTGAACCAGTTGTTAATAGCTGGCCTACGACTTTCTGCCTCTCTGTCCTGTTTGCTTCGGTTGAAAGACACCCGAAACCACACCCCTTCACGTGGTCACACACACACACACACACACACACACACACACACACACACACACACACACACACACACACACACACACACACACACACACACACACACACACACACACACACAAGTTCGCTGTGTGTGTGTGTTTGTGTGGTTTTTATGCAGTGTCTGTTTACGAACACATTTGATTATCGCGGAATTGTATTTTGAAATGCTTTATATTGTTGAATTTACCGGCCTGCCTCTTATGTCTAGGTTTGACGTCCTGCCAGAATTGACGCGGTTCACCCGCGGCTCGCGAAAAAAATAGAGCAGACGCCGAAACGATCGCTGCACGGCGCGGGCTGGAGCGCGGGCTGGAGCGCCGGCGAGCGGCGCTTCGGGGGCCCATGTGGTCTATAGAATAGGATAACAAGGGCGCAAAATGAAGGCGGTCCCCGTTTCGTGGCGCTTCAGCGGCCGGTGTGTCCCCGGCGTAAGACGGAATATATTGTGCGTTGTTTTATTTATCTATATTTGTGTATATTTAACTATTAAAAATAATTTCTTGTACTATGTGGTCAGTAAACACGTGAATGAGAATTTGCATATGTTGAAATTTAACAATGACACTTCAAAATATCCAATAAACAGCATCATGTGTAAGATTATTATGATTTTGGAGCATTTTAACATTCCTGTTTATATTCACTCTGAATAAATACATTACATATGTTTCTTCAGATATTTAAGGAGCATCTTGCAACTATTTTTTAAAAACTTTCATGTGACGATGTTGTAAAAGCTTTTGACTGAACAAAGTTTTAATACATTTTTTTTAGTTACACTCCCAAGGATACGATGTCCGGCCCAAAAAGAGCTCACACACTAATATTTTGATTTAACGGAGAGACAATCCCATGAGCAAACCCAGTTTTTTAACTGAACATTTAAAGCAACGGAGAACATAAGCCTGTGATTAGTCAGCACACCACTTCCCTTGAAGTGGCACCGCCATTACCGCCTTCCCCCCAAAAAGAAGACATCTAGCAGCAAACTCGGAGCAGATCGAAGAGCATCTTGTGGAAGAAGCCTGACGATGTGAATGTTTAAACGTCTTAACTGAAGGAGTAAAGAGATATGCAGCAAACCTTTCATTCATGGAAGGAAACGTGGGTTTAGAGGTGGCAACTGCATGAGGACGTGGACAAGGGACACATTTATCGGTGTTAAAATGTGTCTGAGACACAAGTACACGACATAAATACAAATACTATACTACCAAATACTATTGTCCACCTAAGGGTGACTGCAGTGGCGGTGCGACACCCTCTGTTGTCCTGGCGAGGAATTGCTATGCAACATTACCCGAGTGTAAGAGGAAAACATCGCCATCAATGCATGTGCACAAGTCTTCACCCGAGCTGATGGATGAGTATAAACTAGGCTTTAGCTCAGCAACAGCTTTTCTGTTGGAACAGCAGTTTATGGGATGGCAAGGGTTAGGGATTAGGTACCATGCAACACTTATCTCTAAATCTGAGGTTATGGATCCTGACTATTAAAAGTAGAATAACTTTATCAACGAGGAACCAAGATTAGAGCCGCTGCACCTCCTCTTTGAAAAGACTCGCTGATTTATCAGTCTGGTCAGAGATGATCTGTTTCTACAAACTGAGGCTGTTCAGAAAGATGTTCATGATGGAAACAAACTTAGAAACTAAAACAACCCCCAAAAGCACCCTAATCGCTGATGATTCAACTTCTAAAAGCTGTTGATTTTAGTCAGTATTTAAAACCACGAAGCTAAACTTACCTTTATACATGATTTTCATTGTCCTTTACATAATAAACCACAAAACAACCTCCCTCCAAATGACCAAACCTTTATTGATCTGCCAACAGAACACAAAGTACAATCACAAAATATCCATTCATTTATAGATTTAGCATTAAAAAATCTTTACACAATGACAGGCCACCTAAAAATAATAAAACCCTGATGGAGTTAGAGCTCTTCATCATCATCATCATCATCATCATCCAGGACATCCACAAGTCGAGATCTACAGGATCTAGAGGTTTCAAACACTAAACAGGAAGCCAGTGGTGGTTTATCTACAACAGGAACATGCTCCTACGACCGACCACAGGCAGTGGCGATAAAAGAGCATCAAACTGACTGTTTCAGTGCATTTTTATGAACATGTTTGATTGCTTTCATGGTTTTTGTGCAGTTTTGTAGTTTTATTTTTACACATTTTGGCAACAGCTTAGAAATAAACTAGTATTTAAAACAGATTCAGGTGAATGTAAATATCCCTCATGTGCACCATGTCACATGCAGGAAGGAGAAGGAAGGAAAAATCCACCCGTGGATACTTTTTCACCACTTCATTAGATAACTATTACATTAGTGTTCTATAAGGTTATTACTTTGTAAAATCTATAAAATATACGTAAGCCTTTCTCTTATAAACATTTACTTTCAATTAGACATTTTTCTCTAAGTAATAAATGTGCCGAAATATATGGGGTCTCTGGTATAAAGATGAGGAAAAGGTTGGTGAAAGAAATCAGTAAATAAAAACTAAGGAAAAATGAATCAAGCATGAGCAGATGAACGTGTCCCATAAGCTTCATAAGGCAAAAAGAAAACCCCTGAAATGTTAAATTATTTTCAGGCAAACCTGACGATTCAGTTAAAAGCTTCGACTGTTGATTGCTGCAGAAAATTTAACATTTTTATGAATGACTTTTCTTTAAAGTCTCGTGCATATGATATGAAGTTTTCTCATATTTAAATATGTAAGAATAACTAAATATTTTTCTAAATTGCAGAAGTGACCAGATTACTAAAACCAAGTGTTTATTTTAGGTTAAACCGTAAAAAGGTTAACTTTTACGTAATCTTTTTTTTTTTCAGGGATTCATCTGTATTTGCACCTCCCTGATTAATATTTAATTATGACTCACCATAGCCGTCATTAGTCACTTTTACAGATTCAGAGCCATTACATAGCCTGCCTTACTGTTAAACATTCAGTAGGGTTTGGTTTGTAGCGCCCCCTGCTGTAGGTTTACCTCCAGCTGCTTAAAGCTTCAAAATTGACCAAATTATATTAAAGTAACACCTGCCAAAAGGTGTAATATTTAGTTAATAGGTTTCAATTTTTTTTTATTTAACCCCCAGAGACCCAAATTTAGAAAGCAACTGCAAAATCTTTTTTTAACCTTTCACATGTTGTTCTAGGAGGCCAGATAAACGGGCCTATTTACACATTTTAACAGCCAATAGTGTTGCAGAACTGAACAATAGGACCTATTAGCAATGTAAATGTGGTTTTAAAAAGAAAAAAAAATGGGGAAGGTTTATTTTTGTAGACTTAAATCTGATGTTGTAATTTTACAACCGTGGGTCTCTGAGGGTTAATCTGTTTTCTACAACTCTCATAAAATAATTGATTTTATCATAATATCCTAAACAATCCTAAAATAAATTTGACCCTGAGTTTTTGCTAATAAATACATTTTTCTTTTTCTTGTTATAAGACAAAATCATTTAGTAATTTTTGTTTCATTTCAAGTAATTTCACAGTAAATTAAATACATTCTTGTACAGGGAGTGCAGAATTACTAGGCAAGTTGTATTTTTGAGAAATCATTTTATTTTTGAACAACAACCATGTTCTCAATGAACCCAAAAAACTCATTAATATCAAAGCTGAATGTTTTTGGAAATAGTTTTTAGTTTGTTTTTAGTTTTAGCTTTTTTAGGGGGATATCTGTGTGTGCAGGTGACTATTATTGTGCATAATTATTAGGCAACTTAACAAAAAACAAATATATACCCATTTCAATTATTTATTTTTACCAGTGAAACCAATATAACATCTCCACATTCACAAATATACATTTCTGACATTCAAAATCAATACAAAAACAAATCAGCGATCAATATAGCCACCTTTCTTTGCATGGACACTCAAAAGCCTGCCATCCATGGATTCTGTCAGTGTTTTCATCTGTTCACCATCAACATTGCGTGCAGCAGCAATCACAGCCTCCCAGACACGGTTCAGAGAGGTGTACCGTTTTCCCTCATTGTAAATCTCACACTTGATGATGGACCACAGGTTCTCAGTGGGGTTCAGACCAGGTGAACAAGGAGGCCATGTCATTAGTTTTTCTTCTTTTATACCCTTTCTTGCCAGCCACGCTGTGGAGTACTTGGACGCGTGTGATGGAGCATTGTCCTGCATGAAAATCATGTTTTTCTTGAAGGATGCAGACTTCTTCCTGTACCACTGCTTGAAGAAGGTGTCTTCGAGAAACTGGCAGTAGGACTGGGAGTGGAGCTCGACTCTGTCCTCAACCCGAAAAGGCCCCACAAGCTCATCTTTGATGATACCAGCCCAAACCAGTACTCCACATCCACCTTGCTGGGGGTCTGAGTCAAACTGGAGCTCTCTGCCTGTTACGGACCCTGAGTTCTCCAGCACTCAGCTTCTACTCCGCACCCTTATTCCTGCACCATTTTCAGGACCATGGAGAGCACCCAGCTCCCTGGCTTCACTCTGCAGCTGACTCCCATCAGGAATCACCCAGCTGGAGCAGATAAAGATCAGCGCTGCTCAGAGGCTGACGGAGAGGGAGAGAGAGAGAGAGGATTGAGGCTGACAGAGAGAGGACTGGAGAGAGGATTGGAGTGAAAGATTGCTTGTTTTGGAGAACTTGTGGACGGTTGCCCCTGGCTGGTTTAATTTCCACCCGCATAAGAAAACCGGTTGAGCTCCGGTTTTCTTTGCTCTTAACAGAGTTGACTGTTGCGTGGGTGAGTTGGTTCACCAGTGGACCTTTTGGTAAGGCCTCCGGGCAAGCTCCGTTGTTCCTGGTTCATTTTCAGAACCAGTGAGTTTCCGTTCCCATTGTTATTTGCTCCTTTAGTTACTTTAAGCCCTCAGCATTTGTTCCTGCAGCCTAAATTAAACTCCTATTTTCATTAAACAGGTTTTTTCTCCCTTAGGGACACCTTTAGTTAATAAAAGGACTTTCTTTTGATTGTGACTTGGTGTCAGATTGTTTCTTTTCTTTTCTCACGTTCCTGTGTTAGGCCTCCCTGAACCTAGACCAGGCTGAGGTCGTAACACTGCCCTTTACCAGTCCAGCCACGGGCCCATCCGTCTGGCCCATCAAGACGCGCTCTCATTTCATCAGTCCATAAAACCTTAGAAAAATCAGTCTTGAGATATTTCTTGGCCCAGTCTTGACGTTTCAGCTTGTGTGTCTTGTTCAGTGGTGGTCATCTTTCAGCCTTTCTTCCCTTGGCCATGTCTCTGAGTATTGCACACCTTGT